TTAAAAGAAAGAGAGAGAGGGGGAGGTGCAAGAGAAAGGAGTAAAGGAGCTGCAGGTAAACGAAAGAGACAGAGAGATGAAGGTGAAGAGAAAGAGAAGAGAAAAGAAAAGAGGCGCAGTAGTAAAATTAAAGAAAGAGAGTGAGAGAGAGATTGGGAAGAAAGAGGGAGAGGAGGGCGAAGAGAAATAGAAATGTAGATAAGAGCAGTAGTTAAATGAAAGAAAAAAACAGATATGGAAAGAGTAAGAGGAACGGAGAGAGGAGCAATAGATGAAAGAAAAGGTAAGAAATAGAGAGAGAAAGGGGGAAAAGAAAAATAAAGGAAGAGTTGGGCAGTAGTTATATGAAGGAAAGAGAGAGAGGAAAGAGAGAGAGGAAAGAGAGAGAGAGAGATAGAGAGATAGAGAGAGAGTGAAAATGAGAAATAGAGGAAGGAGAAAGATAAAGAGAAAGGCGAGAGGAGTGATAGTTAAATAAAAGAAAAAAGGAGTGGTAAAGACATAGACATTCGAAGAGTGGTGCTTTAGTTACATGAGAGAAAAGATGGTGGGAGAATTAGAGAGAGAGAGAGAGAGAGAGAGAGAGAGAGAGGAAAGAGAATTAACGAGAATTAACGAGAAAGGCAGAGAGAAATTTCAGTTAAATAAAAGAAAACGGCGAGGTGCAAAGAACGAAAGAATTTATCTAATAATAAACATCTGCTCTTCGCCGAAGTGGTTTTCATTTCGTTGTTAGTGATGTTAGTGATGATGAAGAGTGTTTGTGTGGTGGTCTGAACTGAGGGATGTGGTGATGTGCGGTTAGGTGGAGAACAATATTGACAGGGTAGGAAAGTGTAGTGTGTGTTGTAGTTGGTTGTAATTCGGGCCGCTTCGATGTGTCATAGCTTGAGAATTGCCTCACTCGGGTGTTAGTTCATTAAGCTTTTTGAAGGGGGTTGACAGAAAATCCGACGGCCTCAAAAATATACGTTTTTTTTATGCGTAGACAAAGATAAAACACACAATCAAACGTAAAAAGAAATGTCAATGTAGAAAAACATCGCACATCTTCAAGTAGATATGTGAATGTACGCATCCTTTTACGTGCGCGCACACACACAGGCTCAATAGCATATGCAATCTAACACGAGCATATTTATCAACCAATCTATACACGCACACAGATTAGTATTTAGAACCTATGCACATCTAATAAGAGTTTGGTTATCTTTCTTTTACATATCTAATTATCATTTTGAGGATCGTGTTTATTGAAATATAAATATATTGTTAAACGATATATAATTTTTATATATCAGAACATTTTTAGGAAAATCTATGAGAAATTTGGAAAAATGTATAGAAAGTGCTTTAATTAATAGATCATTCACAGTAAATACACGACTAGATTCTTGAAACATTTTACTTATCTCCGCAGATCTTTCATAACAATGTGGGATACTTCATGAGAAAAGTGATAAAAACAGAAACAAAAAGAAAAAAAAAACAACCTTAAATTAAATCGGCGAGAGTATATATGCAAATGCATATTTCGAAAACAAAAATATGAAATTTAAATTTAAAAGCGTCCCCTCTTTACCATGCGCATGTGTAATCCTATCAACCTAAACATCACTATAGTCCGATGATGGTCCTAAAGGGCAAAACGCCCCACACGAAATATTTTTCCCCAGGCTGCCAAGGATAGATGATCTTAACACATAAGTGTGTGTGTCTGTGTGTGTGTGTCTGTGTGTGTGTCTCTGTGTGTGTGTGTTTGTGTGTGCGTGTGCGTGTGTGTGTCTGTGTGTGTGTCTGTGTCTGTGTGTGTGTCAGTGTGTGTGTGTCTGTGTCTCTGTGTGTGTGTTTGTACCGTTAGTTGGTTTTCGGTGCATTCTAGAGTCTTTTTACACATGATGCCACTTTGGAATAACTTGAATCTCTCTCTCCACACACACACACGCGCGCACACACACACACACACACACACACACACACACACACACACACACACACACACACACACACACAGACACAGACACACACACACAGACAGACACACACACAGACACACACACACACACACACACACACACACACACACACACACACACACACACACACACATATGTATGTATGTATACGTGTGTGCGTGTGTGTATGCGTGTGTGTGTTTTTCGGTACATTATAGATCCTTATTATAAAGTCGCATCCGTACGCGTGCACAATATATATATATATATATATATATATATATATATATATATATATATATATATATATATATATATATATATATATATACACTAGTTTTAAAGCGCTTATACAACGACTAGTACATTTGATTTTTTGAAAAAATATGTCTTCATCAAGTTACCTCTGTTTTATTATCTGTTAAACATGCCATTTGAATACTGAGTTTTATTCCGTCTGACTGGACGCCAGTCAATTCTTGTGAGTCTACTCTGCTCTGTAATTTAAACAATGTTATTTAACCCATAAGTGAGGAAAAAAGGAAATAGAATCACGACTTTCACGAGTGTTTTAGTTTAAAATGAACCCAGAACAGTCGGGAGGAATTTGAAATCGGCTCGCCGATTCTGCTTGCCTTACCGAAAGCAGTTAATGATGGTTAATGGTCGCTTCGGACAAATGTAGCCTGCAGCTTTTTTGCGAGGATCATTCTTCTGCAAACCTCGTCGATCTGTGCAACAGAATCACAAACGAAGTACTTTTGCTAAATAACAGAATCAACATTATTTAAGGGCTTTCAATAATAGCATCAAATAAAATAGCAGAGATTTGTTCTTTTTGTTAGATTACGGCATAACGACTCATTGGTTCAGTTTAATGTTTTTCCTAATTAAAGCATTTCATTTAGTCTTTTTTTTAAATACTAAGACTGCTCTTAATTATGATTATATGTTTTAAATTATATTTTTGAGATTATTTTACTTTCCTTAGAAACTGAAATATGTAAAGTGTATCAGTATTTAAAAAAAAAAGAATTATTTAAATTTGTTGTTAGGTAATATTTTAAAAGTATTGAATCAAAATTTCTACAGTTTGTCAGTTTGTGTCTTATGGTGAATTGCTCTTGGCATGCCAAACGTACCGGAAGATTTTTGGATATATAAGTTATGTTAGTATGTATAATATAGAGTTTGGACAGATAGCAGATGTAACCCGAAAAGAAAATAATGACATAATATTTTGACGTTCTATACTTCTTCAAACAAAAGTTTAGGAATGAAGCCCCCATTAATATTGGAAATAATCGACTCGAAAAAAGGGTTTTTATGAAAATTGTTTTAAGAGAAAGATTTTACAAATTTCAACAGAAACTTAGAAGCGGTATCTCGGTTAATGAATGCCAAATGTTTCCTTATAAGGATATGGAAAATATTACCATATTATTATATGATTATATTATTATAATATTATGATAATATTACCATTATCATGCATATTATTTTAGCTCTCATCGAAATACTTCTGATTCTTCCATCGATTTTCAGCTTTTACAATGTGCATAGATATTCGGAAATATTCTGAGCGTATCTAGTTAGTATTACTATTACTGAATGAGAGTGCAGCACGTCAAAAAGGTGTCGCTGGGCTGCAAATATATGAAGATCGAATCACCGCTAAATGTGTGCGATATGGCGTAAGACATTGCAAAAAGCTCCGAGGAGCTGCATTCGCTGGCTCCCAGACGTCATGAGTTCCAGCGCCATACGAGGCTGGCATCCCGCTCTCACCCCTTCACTGTCAAAACTCCTAAATGTAGTCGTCTCTTCTACTCCAATAGCTTCATGTCTCGCACCTCTCGCCTGTGGAACTCCCTTCCCTTCTGTTTCCCTGTGAGCTATAATCTCCAACTATTCAAGTGTAATGTCAATCGACATCTCCAGTTGCCTTGATCTATCCACTACTCTTCTCCTCATCCTTTCTTCTATCACTCCTATCTGATCTTGCTCTAAATTTTCTGTAACCCCTTGCGTCCTAGTGGCTTACGCCTTGCTTGGGGTAAAATGTTTAAAAAAAAATCCTTATCGGTGGGGCTGAGTTAGAAATATATTCTCCTCCAAGAAGCCAGTCTGCTCAAGCCGTCTCTGATCAAGGATGTTTTCTAGATGTGACTCCCAAGTCGCCTTTTCTGTCTTTCAACCTATAAAACAAAACCAAAACCTCTCGACACCCAACCATGATGCTCTCTCTCGTTACTACCGCTCATTGTGGCATCAGGACAATTTTTATCATTGTTTTTATTATTACATTTTTTCATATATCTTCGTATCAATACCAGTATTATGTTACCGTAAGACATTTATTGCTAATTTTCTTTCTTTTTTAAAATTATGTATCGTGCTGACACTGGTATATATTTTCACGAGTCCCGTAACCCATCAGGTTTGTAGGGGTACCACTCGTACTGCAACCGTATCTAGCGGCAATATAGCCTGACGGAGCGCAATCCTAGTTTGAATTCAGAGTTTTCTTTCAAGAGAAAGGATAAGACTAGTTGCCAACCAAGGCTATAGAACTTTGTCGTGCTATTTACACATAGCTGGTGGTCGGAGAAAAGGTGGATTCATACCTTTCTTAAGGGTATTTTCATACATGTGAATTTTTTTAAAACGCTATTTCTAGTGTATATCAATATTTGATTAGACGATGTGTTTGTTTTTAAACCGGCCTGAACATTCGAGAAATCTGGTATTTTTTCTCTAATAAGATTTATCGAATGTTCAGGGTGGTTGAAGAAATAAAATACTGTTTAAAAATAAACGGGGAGTCTACTAAAATATGAGTATCCACTAAAAATAACTTTAAAGTAATAAAAAATATGTCGTATCAATAAATAAAAACCCATTACTTCTTTCGATATATTAGTGAATAGAATGAACTGGACTGAAATTCAAAGTCAGTTTTCCGTTTTCCTATTCTGGGTGCCTATCTATTAAATCCACCCCTTTTGTTCATAAGTCTACTGATAAAAATGATCTTAGACCGTTGGTATATTATTATTAGTAGTAATACTGATGTCACATTTACTCATATCTTACTTATTATAAAACGCAGATTGTGTATGTGTCTGTTCGTTTATAAATTTGATCGGATTTCCTACATTTTTCAACCGATTTCAACAAAACTTCACAGGACTACGTAAAATTACCTTGCGGTGGTTCTGACAGCGCCAAAAATTGTTTTTGCACGAAATCAATTTGAAAACACGATTAAGAGGCATCGCGAGACTGAAAGGAGGACAACTCATATCGAGTTATACTTATTATAAAACCCAGGTTGTTTGTGTGTGGGGGGTGTTCGTTTATATATGGGATCGGATTTCCTACATTTTTCAACCGATTTCAACAAAACTTTTTTTTTGGCAGGTAGTGTTTCTTATTGTCTTGCACACTTTTTTCATTATTTTTACATTCAGAATGCTTTAAAAATTCTATTTACAAGACAATTGTTTATAATAAAATTCTATTTAATCGATAGACTCATAACGATTGAAAACAATGTTTTTGTTTAAGTTTGGGTCTGACCAATTCGTAAAAAAAACAAACAAACAAAAAAAAAAACTAATTAAGACATGCGTGTCCATCAACCTTAAACAATAATCTTTGTCAATTTTATTTTTCAGTCTTTATGATAGCCGATACTTGATCTATCACTTACTGTTACATCCCCGGGTAACGCCGGGCTCTATTGCTAGTTACTACTATAAATACAA